TAGTGTATTATTTAGCATCTGTAAAATTAATATTTTTACCCCCCCTTTGGTACATAAGTATGGGAACAAAGCCATAAAAACACAGTAATTGACCTTTGGACCGCACCCGGTGTTTCGCCGTTAACGCACAAGGTATTCCAAATGAAATAACGGGATGCAGAGGTCATCTGTACAGCAAATACCAAGGCATTTCGCAAACAAAGCATTGGATATAAAGACAATTAGGAACTCTCTTGTATTATGTATGAACCAACACTTACTGAATGAACCACTAAGTATTGAAATTTGTATTTCTATGGTTAGTTTCCCTGAACATATATGCATTAGGATAGAATCCTTGTGTTTCAGCAATGTGTTATGAACCCTTTATAGCTCCTTTTTTTTTTTTTTTTTTTTTCAGTTAATTTAGTACTCATGAAAATTGCTTGTTTGACAGCTGTAGAAATTAAACGCCTTTCCGGCTAACCAGCAGAATAACATGGGAGGCATAAAGGAGAAAGCTTCTCCCACCTCACCCAGGTATCTCCAGGCTTCAAGCACACGGGCAATTGAAGATTGCCAGGACAGACATGAGCAAGTAGGACAGGGAATTCGTAGAGTTTAGCACAAAGAAGGTCCTTACCCCATTGTATCAAGGTGTGTATCAACACGATGGGTTCAACCAGAGCAGAGAGAGTGCCGCAAATTCACACTCTTACGAACTAACACCCTTATGGGTGAGGAGTCTTCCCTTTTTCTGTTTGTCTTAGGCACTTTTTGCCTACCTGTTGACATCCTTTTAATCAGCTTGCTTTTCAAAAGCATCTCCCACCTCTCCCACTTTCATATATAGTGGTGCCTTAATGGCCCTGAGCAGCTCCACCTGTGGCTCCCCCACCCTGCCCATTGGCCCAGGGCCCACGTCAGCTCCACCCTGGGGCTTTGGGCCAAAACAATTGATCTTTTCAGTAACATCCTCATACCCTGAAACTGCCAGCACACTTTACACGGCTTACCAGACCCATTTTCAGTGCCTTACCCCTTCTCTTACAGGTGTGAATTAAAAGAATATCCTTATAATTATGTAAAAAGCATAAAAAAAAATTTCTAGACCTTGTTTAAAATCAGCAAAAGCCCTCCAGATTTTTCCTAAAATCCCTAAAGAATTGCTAAGTACCAATTTTATTTTATTTTATTTTTTAAATTGCAACTGTTAGACTTAACCATTAATACAGAAAGCATAAGAGGAATGGACATCTCTGTCTAATGTCTCTGACTATTATGGAAGCCTTTACCATAGGTTCTCATCTAGAAATATTAAATGACTGGTAGTTTAGTTTCTAAAACCAAAATTCTTTCAGTGCTTGTAGACTAAAAAAAAAAAAAAAAAAAAAATAAAAAAAAAAAAAAAAAAAAAGTATGAATTTCCTGATGTCAGTTTGGTCCAAACAGCTTCCACAGCCTTGATTCAGTGATTTGAAAAATGATGACATAGAGTTTCGAAAGTGCTGAGAGATGTTATAGCCCGGTCCTCTTATGATCAACTGATCTTTTCAGCTCTTAATGGGAAAATAAATCATAGATAAAAGATAATCCTGTTGCACAGAAGCAAAAAAGGTGTGATATCAATAGACTTTTATAGAAAAAGAAAACTCTGTGAAAGGGATAAAGTAAATAAGGTAGTTTGTTCTGCTGATGCTCATGTTGGCAAGGTAAAAGCCCTCTTCAGGAGCTACGTACCTCAAAAAATGAGAATTAAACACAAAGTATATTCAGAGAATTAAAAAAGCTACAAAGCATATTTTTAAATTGTAAACCCATCTCCAAACCCCTAGAATTTCAAGGGTGGCTTTAGTTTTTTACTGTTCTTTTTTCTTTAATGATAAAACTGTTAACTGTTAGTTTGTTTTCCTTTCATATTCACCAGTTCTCTTATTTCATTTTTTATGCTGCGGATGACATTAATGGTATCAGAAAAGGAGCCAAATAAAGCTCTGCTATATTCTAATTAATGATTATTATAATAAAAATACTTCAATATGGCAGCCAGCCCACAGTGTCTTCTCTGACCTTTAATTTTTGATGTGATACATATTACATACAGTCTGTAAATGTAGGTGTAACACAATGGCAATGCACACAGGAAGAAAGAGCCCATTAAGTATTTGGCCTGTATAAGAACTGATCGCACAGTCAATCCCTGCAATGTAAATAGGCTTTTTCAGAACATTTGTTTGCATTTATAATTAAATTAAACTTTAACTAAAATAATATTAAAAAAAAAAAATCTCTATGGGAAAATCATATATATAAATACTGCTTTCCCACTGTTAAATACCAAAAAATGAAGGTACACGGGTTGAGCCGAAGAGGTCACAATTAATTATTGAGTGTGAGTGAAAATGATGCATGGAGTGTGCACAGTTAAACATCATCCCGCCGCAGAGTTTTAGAGGACTAGCAAATAAGCAAGGTGGGAGTCATTTTTGTGACTTCATAAACCAGTCTGAAACTGCTGCTGTCCTCAGCATCTAATTGACCAGGGACATGGGGACATCAGGCTCTGGGGGCATTGGGTGGAGACCGCTATTGATCTGCCAAGCACATGTTAAATAAATCCTGTTCCCCCCATCTCCCCACGGTGTTCTCCACAGGTACACCGTGACTCAGTGGGCTGTTTCCTTCTTGCAGGTTCCCACCTGGCGCAGAGAAAGGGTGTTCTTTAAACAGTTGAAACACCAGCCTGCTCTCTTGAAGGCATTCTTTGTGCCTCTGTTACTTCTTGAATGTTCTGATTAAAAATTACTGGATTATTCTTTGGGGACTGAAACGTTAGATTCTCCCATCTCCCCTCACATGGTGTTGGTGTCACCCCTGAGCACTGCAAAGTGACATTAGGGTTTACAGAAGATGAACTTTGACATTTCTGCATGCATTTACCCGAGGAAAGGCTAAGTACAGACCTGGCTAGATATTTTTATAGTTGTGAATTTAAAGGACGTGTAAAGGAGGGCTCGGATGGATAATATCACTTTGCATTTGGAAATCTATTTTGTTATGATATAAAATGCACGAGTGCCCTGGTGGTATCAATAAAGACCAACATAAGAAACACCAGCGGCACTGGTTTTCTTTGAATTTTCTTTGGTCACTCAATAGGCAGATTTCTTGCAGATGCCATAAGTAGCCAGTGTCAGAGTGGCTTTAATGTACTATTAAATTCATTTTTGTATATTCATTTTTCACAGTAGCATAAACCAGAAGGTGCCTGGTACCTCTGTGCTGCAAAAAGCCAGCTTAGACTTCTGTCTAGCTTTACAGTATCAGCCCATCTGTTTTAGGTGAAAACTTGAGCAGTAATGTTAACCTCAAGTACGTTAACCTTTGGATGCCATGAGACATGATAGACAGGACCATTATTTTTATGGCACATTTTTTTCCCTAGCTAAGATCCGAGGCAGTAAAGAAGGATAGAAAATCCTGGTTTTGCCTCTCTGTCTCCAAACAAAATACAGTGTACAGTTGTTGAAAACCAAGCAGATTACATTATCGACACACAAATACCCAGTAACTATAAATCTAAGGGAACCCAAGTAATGAGTCAAAACCATGAGGCTGATGGTTTATTCAGTCTCATTGAATTTACTGGCATAAATACTGGTTCCTCATAAACCAGAGTTCACCCTCTAGTTTCAGCTGAAGACAAGACTGATCTGGAGAAGTTGAGGAGGTGGCAAACATCTACTGCTTCCCTGAAACCTTCCCTACAGATGTAAATGGAGGCTTGAAGGTGGGAATATTTTTCTGTCTCTAATATCTCTCAATTTCACGAGCATTTTTTGAGACAAAAGTCTTAGTTTATGTATAGAACAAAACTAATCAAAGAAGTTCTTCCCCAACAGCTATCATCTCCAAGAAACCACGTGCAATACACAATACTTAGCAGTTGTAGTAAGTGTCCATTTAACTAAAAAAGTTAATAAAAAGTAGGGGAAAATGTTGCAGCAGTTTCACATTTATACTTGATTAATTCAAGTGTATAAAGCTTTTAATGGAATTTAGGATTTGAGATTTTTCTTAATTTCTGAGAAGCTTAATTTTATTTTCTTGTTAAGTAGTATCAGGAGGTTCGCTATCATCGATGATATTTGTTAAGCTATTAAATATGTAGATATTTAGTCTTTGCCAAGAGAAGTAAACTGTTTGGAGAGGAGATTTTTTGTCATTTATTCTACTTAGCTACCAATATCAGCTTTCACACCTGTAACAGTATCTATTGATCAATGTTAGATTCATTTAGGCCGCATCTGTGAAAAAATATTTGTTTGGGTATTTGTGGAAATGTGTTCATTGTATGTGGAGTCTATGGAAAGACGTTCAGTAAATATGTACAGGTTGGTTCTAATTCTGGTTCTTATTTCCCTAAAATATTCATCTTTCCTCTTCTCGTTTCCTGGGGTCAGATCTTTGTTTTTCAAAATCAGTCATAAATCTTCCGCTGACTTTGACAGAGTCAGTACTATACTTTTAGTATTTCCTTTTCAGTTCTTTTCAGCACCTTTTTTCTCTTTTGCTAGTCTGCTTTGGATCCCTGTTCTACTTTTGGCTTTGTTTAACTTCCAACATCCAAACAATCTGCTATTTTTCCTTTTAATCTTTTTTTTTTTTTTTTTTTTTTTTTTTCATTGATACTTTGGTTTCTACATACGCTTTGGTTTTGGTTTTTTTTTTTTGCCACCTTATTTCATGTATCCATTTCCTTCTTTTTCCTTTTCTTTGGTTGGTTGGTTTGTTTGTTTCTCATCTCCTGTTTAACTACTATTTTCCTCTGCTTACTCTGCTCTTTTTTCTCTCTCCTAGCTGACATTTCCCTCTGTGCAATATCCTACCTTCTCTTTCCTCTCTTTTCCAAAACACGGCTCATCATTCTATGCCACTAATGTATAGCAGATTCTGAAATACTGTCATCTGAGACAGTTAAGTACTAAACAAAACATTACCAGGGTGGAGGAATCACTTACCCTGATTGACAACAAATCGTAACTTCTGTATTGTTGCCAGATTGCCGCTAACTCTGTATATTCCATCAACATCTAGACCTGAAAGAGAAACACATATTTCATTTTAGATCATATAAGTATTTTTCTTTGTATGTCTGTCAGGAAGCCAGAAGCGCCCTAGCAAGTATGAAGAGCAGTGCAGTGAATGACTGAAAAATAATCCACCTGACAACAAGTGAAGTGCCTCCTGCCTGATTAAAACAACAATGAAAAATAAAAGTGGTAGATTAACTTAAGTGAATACAAAACACCTAACTATAATTATCTTGTAATTCTGTCAGCAGAATATAGTTCTGCAAGGGTATTTGAGTGTGATGGGAAAGGAAGAGTGAATTAGCTCTTGTGCTCCTAGAGAAGGTCTGTTTGGGATATGCACGATGCTATGCTAATCCTGTTTAAATGTGGGGTATTTATATTAACAGTGCTTCTCAGTCTGGGGCCTGGGTTTTTCAGATGTGAATTTCTGAGGCTGTGACCTTTCTGAAAATAAAGCGCCGAGGTGCCCACTCTGAAATGATGACGTGCATGAGACTACACACAACTACTGTTTCTCTACTATATTCTTCATAGCGGATCAGACAAGTTTGAAGATGAAATTAAATATCCCAAATAGCATATGCCCTGGAGTACATTTCTTCATTAATATAGGCCATTCTTTTCAAGGACAACCTGACAGTCTTGTTTCTCCCTGCATATCTACTCAAGGTTTATCTTCTAGGTGAAACTAGATGTCATACTTCCTTTTGTGACATATTATCTCCTACAGCAAGCTCTGCTGATATGACTGTTTAAAATAGCACTTCCAGCCCTGGTTGCATAGCTGCAGCATTTCAAAGCACATGGGAACTGCTCTCCTTTCCCGGGAGAATTGGCTATTGTGTGACAACGACCGAATCTGCATGCTTAAAAATCGAAAACACTAAACTATACATTATCGTTTCACGTTTAAAACTTGCAAGTACATAAGAGACTAAGAGAATCTCCACAAAACAGGTTTTATTTTAAAAGCTACTCATCACTTGGAACACAAGTTTTAATTAGCTTTTAGCAAGAAATTTCAGAGAAAGCCTTTCTCTAGGAAAACGCTAATTTGTCAAAACCCCAAAATTTTCAGAAAATATTTCCTGACAATGTATTTAGGGGGATTTTTTTTTTTCCCAGTTTGGGGTGAGTGAAAAGGAAAAACTGAAACTATAGGAAAGAGTGGAAAAAAAAGTCCAAAAGCTCAGAGGCGCAGTTGTAATAACACTTAAATAAGAAGGAGCTGAGATGCAAGTCCTTATTTCAAAGATACTTGCATCATGCCTTGGCAGATGAGTGCCATAGCCAGTGGACTCAACTGCTTGGAGGTATTCCTCATTCATCTTGAAACATTTTAAGAGATTTACTTTTCCTTTTGATGTAGACTGAAACCAACCAAAGTCTTTTGTTTGTTTGCATGTTTGTTTTCTCTCTCTACAAAATATAGTTCTGATTTTGTCTACCCTGCTAAGAACATCCTGATTTGATTTACATTAAATAATCTATTTTAAAAATTAATAATAATTCCATATTATACACTGGTTATCTAAGTCTTTTATTAGATAATTTTCTACCCTGCACCTGTGGGTGTCCTGCAACATAATACTGAGAGTGATGATTCATTTCAGGAAGATCCCCTTTGGTTACAGAGGGATAAAGAAAAAGTTTATTTAAGAGAAATCAAAAAGGATTTGGTAATCAAGAACACTTGGAAGTTATCCATCCACTGGATATATAACATATGAGCAAATGGAAATTACTAAAATGTTTAAGTAATGCAATTCTATCCAGAATCCAAAGAGTCTTGTTCTATTTTAGTAAGGGGAGAGTGAGAGAGCAAGAGTAATGCCTAGCACAGGAATGTGGTACTCTTGTGGTAAGGGATTAAGAATTACATCATGTGAATCGAAGTCTAAACCAGAAAGAGGAAAAATCAAACAAACAAACAAACAAGCCCCAAAACAGAATGTTAACTTTTGTTTGGATCTAACTCAATCCAGTTCTTAACCTTTTTGGATATATGGAAGTGAAAGCAATACATGTCACATTGGGTGAAATAGCTATGTCTCACATTAATAGCATCAATTTGGAACCTGCATAAATTATCCAGACCAAGTGAAAATAACAAACTATGTTGTAAATTGGTGGATATTACCTCTTGCAAAATGATCTGGAGTATACAAGTGCACTATTATTGTTGTAAATTTACTTTGGTCCAGAAATGCGGTCTGATTAGCATTTCATTTGGACACCATACAATATGGCAGAGAGAAAAAAAATGAAAAAAGAAAAAAAAACCAAACCCACAGAAGAATATCAAGCCAATTATAGTGTTCACGTGCCATCAACTTTCTGCTCCAAGAACTTTGAAAGTTAAGCCAAACCAAACCAATGCAAATTGGTGGATTTGGACATCCTTTTCATGACCACATTATCTTAGCTGGATTGTTAACAACTTATTTTGGAAATCCAATTAGGCACAAAAGAGAAAGAGAGAGAAAGAAAGAGAAATATGTCTTTATAGTTCTAATATCCTGATTCTATGAACAATTTTCAAAGCAAATTCACTTTTAAGGGCACCTCTATCAAGAATAAAAACATCACTGCACTGCTGTCAGTGTTTCTTCACGGCAGGCTATAAATACTTAGGGAACAAGATGAAACAAAAGCCTTGCAAAGTTCCCTATCTGGTGCTGGCATTTTAGTGGTAAAGAACTTTTCAGAAAAAAAATATTCATTTTAATGAAATCTAACTCTTGTCCACTATAGGGTGACCTTCTTGTGTTTTGGAGCAGGGTTTTTCAGGGAAGAATCACTGGATTCTGCCCTAGAGGAGAACAAGAATTTTACTTGCTTTATATCCCAATCTCCAACTCTGCTTCTGCTTGTTTTAATGAGGAACCTGAGAATAGGATGAAACTTGTCAGGCTTATATTAGAAATGATAGCAAACCCCATGATAATTCGGTGTTTCCAACCTAAATTTTGTGATGGTATAAGAAATGTAGGAAAAGGACTTATTCAAGAATACATCCCTTTAGCCACCAAACTACTGGCAAATTTTAACTATTTTAATTTTTAAAAAATGATACAGGTATTCCTGACGAGAAAGCTAAAAGGCAACTGAACTCAGGCTTGGTTAAGATTCATAAACAATAATGAATATTACAGTCACTCTGTATAACAGCACAGATGTTGGAAGAACACATATTTAAGAACACTTCTTGCAATCCTCCTTCTAGCCAAAATGGAAATAACCATGAATGCAGGTCAGTGTCAGCTCCATAGCAGTTTGAGGTGAAACCAAGTATTGTAGGGAAATCACAGGAAAAAAAAAAAAAAAATTAGAGCTTAGGTGATATATTTATCGAAACATATGTTTCAAAATACCAGACTTTGGTATTGGTGGAGTTAGTCCTGATGCTTTATGAACTGCCTTGAATGAAATATTCTCATTAATTCTTTTCTGTTGCATAGAAAAGAATTCTTCTGTGCGCTCTCCCAAATCACATTGCATTCCTCCTAAACTTAATCTGTATTTGACAATATCTTCAAACTGAATATAAAAGGAAATTCTCTACGTGCAGGGAGAAGGGGAGTGGTGGTATACAGAAATTTCTCCCTCTGGTTTTTAACAAGAGTTAGAATTCGAAACATACCATTTTAAATGGTACTAGGTAACTTCCTGCATAGAAACCCATGAAACTTCCACAATTAATGTATCCTGAAATAGGTGTGGTCCCCAGGCCTGGTAGGAGTTTTGTAAAAGAAACCATCGTGCTGGATTTAACAACAAAGTGAAGTACAAACTTGAAGAAAGGCATTCTTTAGTTAGTCCTTTCATTTAAAATCAGTTATGTTCAGGGCAAAAATATTGTATTTCAAAGGAGCCTATTATGCCTTCCCATAAACAGAAAGATCATACATTTTAAAACTAAAGTATCATTATGTAATCAAGCTGTTGTATTATAAACTATTTTGTGGGCTCAGATGCCCAGGGCTATCTTTACAAATATTTAAGAGGTCATTATCAGGGTATGTTCTCCCTAAAACTATAATTCTTTCCTCCTGTTTTCATATGCATCTCACTATAAATATCTGATATATATAAACAATTTTTTAAAAGTTTACTAAGGGCACAAAAGCGAGGCATGAAGTCATTTAAAGATGCAGAAAGGGGTGAACGCAACAAATACACTAACGGCAACATAGTGTGTCAGATGAGACAAACACCACAAACAAAGTGCAACAAAAACAAAGCTTCACAAAAGGGTCGATATCTGTATGCCAGTCGAAGGAAAATCATGAAGAGTAGCAAAGAATGAACCTGACACGTTAAAATTTGACATAAAAAATACTGTATCTGGTTAGAGCTACAAAAGGTATCTGGAGTATCAGGTGAATGTGGGAGCAAAAGAAATGGTTTTGTCTGATGTTATGGAAAACAGAGGTAAAAATGATGAGAACCATGAAACAAATTTGAGTTATGCCACTGACAGAAAAAAAACATAGAGGCATTAACAGCAACGAAGGGACACATGGGTGTAAAGTGCAGAGTGGTGCAGGTGAGAGGTGAGCTGAAGGTTTTTGAACCAGTAAACCTGGTTGATCAGCTTGATAAACTTGGGTCAGCTGGGTTAAAACAAGCACCAGCTCCTTTTGAACGTAAGACTATCTGCACTCAGCAGGGTTTCCAGTGTTGCTGACATCTCTATCCTGCCTTTTGGTGTGGCGTTGGGTGGGGTTAGGCATGCCCTAAAGCTCCTGAACTGGGGCCGGAGGCTGACACTGGGATTTGCTCTGATGGAAAAAAAGCTTCTCTTCTGATCATCAGATCTACCCACTTCTTGTACTCCTCCCATCCAAGGATCACATTCATGAGGCTGAAAGCAATATCCCAGTTAACATCTGATATGAAAACAGGCCCCATCCCTAGTCCAGAGAAGGTGCTTGGCTCCCATGGAAGTGGGAGCCATAGAAATGTCGTGTTAGACAGTTAGTTCTACCAGATAGACAAGG